GAAGATCGTAGGCTCTGATAACCAAGTGTTACGAGTGCAATTGAGTGAGCGAGCGAAGATTGCACTATCGAGACAGGATACAATGAGCGAAGGATTGAGCGAAGAATATATAGCGAAGCTACAGTTGTAACGGTAACGTGTGAAAAAATGGGGTGCGCGACGGGCATGTTGCCGAGGTTGGGGAATGTCGAGGCGGAGGTCCGGAGCGCGGGTTACCAACCGAACCGTGAGGTTGGGTCGCATCGTGAACAGTGGCGGGAATGGGGTCGAGGCGAATGTCGTGAGTGGTAACGGATTATTGTGGGGTGCTGTTGGCGGGAACAGTGGTGTACGCGCTGAGCAGGGACGCGAAGTAAGGAAAAGGAATTTTCCTTGCAATATGATAGAATTATCGAATCTATTCATCTGTTCGTCTAACTCTGGGATGCGAGATTTCACGTTGCTGTCCCAGTTATGCCTTCTTTGCGGATGCCACGTCAGTGCCATGCGTTCCAGCGTCACACTCCCATAAATGAAGGCCCACAGATGCTTTTCTTCCCCGTTGACGGCAACATCTCCCACCATTTTCCTGGGTTGCCAGTCAGCAAGCTCGAGTTCCACGCTGGCGCCAGTCAGGGTATGGGAACCAGAGATTGCGGAGTTAGGAAACGTACCGTCAAGAATGTGAAAAGATGCAGAACAGCATTTTTAGGAACTTGCCTGCCTTTCGCCCAGCCGGAAACATTGCCGCTTAGTGGATGGAATGGGACTAAGAAAATCAATTTCTCCGAAAAGGTACTGTACAGCCACACTGGAAATAAACGCTCATCAGCCATACCTGAAACGAACCGCCGATATTTAGCTCGGCTCGAACCATTAATTTTAGCCAATCGTTGTTCTTGTTGTTTGTCTCGGAAAGGCCCAGAAGTGGCGAAATGACGCGCACTGGCGGAAATCGCATTTCTCTTAAAGCTTTCGTATACATTTGAAAGTGGGAGTTTCAGAAGTTTAGAAATTTGAAAACTGGTTACCCTATTACAGGTCATTTCCCTCGTCCCACAAGGGAGATGATCCCCCCGACACCCCGCACCATCTCCTCTGACTGCTGGTTCAAAACTTTTGAAACAACAAAAGGATACAAATTACCATGTTTCTCAGAACTAGGCCACTACGCACGATAGGCCGAAAACTACGTAGATAAGCAGATCGCGATTCAACAACCAGCGCAAAGAACCCCGTTTCCGACACAAACAGCGACGTAACTAGACGTATAGAGTCATTACGCGTCCGCACCAACGCCAGTTCCGCCCTCTCACACTCGCCTCTCCCGCATCACACGCGTTCGACATTGAAATAGCACTAGCCGCGCCCGCTAGCTTTCAAACGCGGCATCCCTCCACCTACCACTCTCGTCGCGCCGCATCAAACCGCTGCTTGTGGCCTAGCCGGCGCCGGTTCTAGTCACCTCGCCGAGCCGATCACAACGGACCTCCTTTCATTAGCCTCGCCTCGTTGTCCGTCGCGGCGTCGCATCGCCTCACCTCGCTGCCTCCTCACACCTCCTTGAACACGCACGCTGCATCTGAAACTGCCGAACAGCGGGATCTCGCACGATCACAGTCGCCTCCCGCTCGCGCAGCTTTGTTACCCCGTTTCCGCACTAGCCACGGCTGCCGCACTTGAGGTCGCGACGGACTGCCGAAACGGTCTCCTTGACCAGCCAATTCTTCTCCCCTTCCCAGCGCCTTCCCATCTCTGCCTTACGCCCTTTTTCCCCCTCTCTCCACTCTGCTTTACCCCCCGCTTCCCCGTTACCCCTAACCCGCCTCCCCATTACCCCTTCCCACCTCCCCGTTTCCCCTTCCCACTCCCCATTACCCCTTCCCGCTTCCCCCTATCCCTTCGCGCCTCCCCGTTTCCCCTTCCCGCCTCCCCAATTCCCCTTCCCGCTTCCCCATTACCCCTTCCCCCCTCCCCGTTTCCCTTTCCCTCCTCCCCAATTCTCCTTCCCGCCTCCCCATTTCCTCTTCCCTCCATGCCCTCGTAACCATCTCTCCCGCCTCCCCTACCTGCCTGCCTACCCTAAGGGGATAATGACGGGGAGAAGAGGGGGGGAATGTGAGGGCTAAGGGGGGGAATTGAGAGCGAATAGGGGGGAGTGTGAGGGGTAGAGGCCAGGGAACTGAGAGGGAGAAGGGGGAGAAAAGACCCGAAAACGGGGGAAAATGGAGGGGGGAAATGAGGGGTAAAGGGGGGATTAAGTTGGGTAATGAGGGGGGAGAAGGGGGGGTAATGAGAAGAGTATGTGCTAAGCTCCCGAAGCGCGCAGCGGGTGAGGCGCTAAGCGGGAAAGGAGTGCAGGGGGTGAGGCGCTAAGCGAGAGAGACGCGCAGCCGGTGCGGCGCTGTAGATGAAAACGAGGCGCGCGAACCTAGAGGAGCTAAGGGCTGAGGCGCGCCGCGGGTTCGGCGCTAACGGCGTGTGACATTTTTCAAAATCGCAGAAAGTCCGGACGTTGTGCGACGTACGTCCGAACGCTTGCAAAGCTGGCGACATCGTACGGTCGCTTTGCGACGTGGTAAGGACGCGAGGCGACACATACGACGTCGTTTCGATTCTGGACGAGCTAGCTGGCGAGCTGGAAGGATTCTGGTAACCACACAACCGTCCGAACGGCTGGACGTCCGGACAAAACAAAGGAAAAATGTCACACGCCCTAAGGGCTGAGGCGCCGCAGCGGGTTCGGCGATAAAGGGCCATGGTGCGCATCGGGTGAGGCGCTAAGTGGGAAAGGCGCGCAGCGGGTGAGGAGCCAAGCGGGAGAGGCCTACCTAGCGAGTGTTGAGAGTGGCGGCGTGGCCAACGCATGAAACGCGCATCCGCTCAGTGAACACGGCCCCTAAATTATCAATCGCGTGACGGCTTACTCGAGTGCGGCGACCCAGCGTCGTGATGCAAACCGCTAGCCTCGGTTCCTCTATCTATGCTTCGGCTAGTGAGTCACTGCAAGGTTGGGTGACGGGGGAGTTTCCCGTGTTTGGAACCCTCAAAGGTGCAAGTTTTCGCAAAACCTCTCGCCACCCTCATTTGGTTTCGTTTGAGCGAATTTTTTTGGGATACTGTGCAACCGTGAACAGTACTTGCAAATGTATACGAAAGCTTTAATTGCATCGACCCAAATTATTGCGACCTCGCCACGTCGGCGTTTCCCATAATTGGATGGACCGCGTTTGCGCACGCCCTTTCCGCGCGATTTTCCCGCCCTTCCCTACCTAAATTCAGGCACCCGCTGGAGTTTCTTGGAATCACAAACAGTCACAATTTCATTATTTTTTTCGTAACGCTAAGATTTAGACATGCGAGCAGAATACTGATGATATGTTTCGCGCGCCAAAGTGACATGCAAGCAGTGCGTTTCGATTCTTCAATGTTGAATGACGTGCACATTCGGTTGTGCCAGGAGCCTTTGGGGAACTCACAACTAAATTTGAAGTTGTACCTTTACTTAATTTTGTTTTCTCATATAAAGCATACTCTTTAGCTAAATGATTAAAATCACTATACTCAAACAAAGCGCCCACGTAAGATAGAAAATTTTAATTATATTTTTCTTCTGATATTCTGTATTAACAATTTTATAAAAATAGTATTATATATTTCATGGAATATGCTTAGTATAAATATATTAAAACCAACAAAACTATAGTTACTCTGGCACGCAAGAGCAATTACAAGTGGAAAATGTGGAGGTACCCTAGAAGGTTGAAATCGCGATTGTTTGTGATAGATCTGAACTTCAGCACAGCTGCCCGAATTTGTTGGGGGAAGGACGAGATAATCGGGTCCGGGGGGCGCGCGCAAACGCGGTCCATCCAATTTAGGAAAACGCCCATGTGGCGAGGTCGGAGTAATTTGGGTCAATCCAATTAAGAGAAACGCGATTTCCGCCGGTGCGCGTCATTTCGCCCCCAGAAGTCGAAGGTGGCGGTTTGAGGAACCCAATTGGGGGGTACTGTGCAGGTGCGCCGAAGCTTGTTGACAGGTGCGGCAGGTTCGGCAGTGGCTTGGCGATGTTCTCGAAGCTGACGTTCGAGCTTCCCTTTTTCCCGCGTGTGTGATTCCCCCATCATTGTCAACGCTGCCTCAGGAAATGTTTTCGGTTTGGGACGGGACATGTGGGAAAAGGCGGAAACCCAAGCGAACAGGGAAAGTCTGGCCACCTAGGGAATCGTTGCATCCATGGCAACAGCGGAGAGAGCACAAGGGTGTTACACACCGTTACGGTACAGTAGGCTCGATTGCGATTTAGGACGTTCATTTTTTTAGTTAGATTGGTTGGATTGGGATTTGTAGCCATACTGAGCTCCATTTTCTCCAGCTCAAAATAGGAGAGAAATGCCGCAACAATGAACTCAAACGACCGCCATAAAGCAGATTCTTGTGAAAGCAGCACGCATTCTGAAAACAGCAGAACCGAGTTTCTTCCTTGCTATTCCTTCGTCATTCCCAGTGCTCCAAAAAGCTCGTTGCTGCTCTTGCAAGCCGGCGCTGCTGGATTTTGTGGGTCGCACAAGCACGACTTCACAAACTGTCGGACGCGCTGCTTCTGAAAGCTAATACTCTGAAGCAGGGAAGCAGAGCAGTTCAGCTCAGTTTAGCAGCGAAGCTTGTGCTAGTCATCAGACTCTCCGATATTGAACATTCTGAAGTCCAGTTCTTCAGAAGTGTGACGAGGCGACAAGAACGTCTCTTCACCAGAGCGACTGCAAGCGAGCTATTGGAAGCGAACAACAGAAGGAAGCAACCCTGCAAGCTGAAAAGCACGGAAGCTCCTAAATATGCTCATTCCATGCGCAGTTTCTCCTGTTTCTCGCTCACTCGTTCCGCAACTTCTCTGACGGCTCTCTTTTAGCTGCAGCCTTCGTGCGCCTGAAGCCATTATTCGAGACTTGAGGCCACGTGCACATTCCTGATTCGAACCCAGTCCTGACTCCTCGTGTACATAAATTAACCCCGACGCAATGGCAACGGCTTTGTCCGTGACTCACTCCGTGGCGACCGCGTCAACTGTAACCCACTCCAAGACAACCGACTGCAGACCAATCGGAAGAAACGTTTCCATTGTCGTGCTGGCTCCTGCAGTCAACAACTCGAGCAGCAACACTCAACCCACCTTGCACTCCCTCTACTCGTCAGCTGAGCAGCAGTCCGACACGAGTCTATTGCTGCTGCAATCACAACCGTGTCATTTCCGTACTTTTCAACGGCGACAGCGAGTCAACGTCGCACCACGAACCACCGGTGCTCCCCACAGGTTCGGAACCCCAAGGTGCTTCCGAACCGACGAGGGAGACCCGGATATTCTCGTACCTCACCATCCACATATCTCAACTCCGTCCCATGGGACCTCATCCAACCCCGCTTCAAGCTTCCTTGATACCCGATACGGGCCCTGGGCCAATGCCATGATGGAGCAACAAACCATGAAAAGCTTACAAGAAAGGATCTTCAAAGAACAAGCCGGCGGCGGCGGCGGGGACAGCGGCGGAAGAGGCGGGGACGATGACGACGGGAAAGGCGGCGACGGCGGGGGAGACGGCGGGGACGACGGGGATGAGGGGAATCGGCGGAGCGCCAATCAGATTGACGCGCTGCCGTTTCTCAGCCTGGCGTTCGCCGCGTTACACGCATGCTATTGTATCGTTATAGGCTTGAAGGAGAAGGTTCTGCCGCCGGATTTCCTCCGCACGGCTGCTGGGCTCTCCTCGTTGCTCATCGCCTCGGCCCTTCGTCTGAACTCGTACGCGCTATTAGTTCCAATCTGGTCCGGTTTCAACTTTTACATAAGTGTGTCACTTAACCCACAGAAAGAATACAGAAGAGAGAGAAAAAAGGTCAACCTTGTGGAAGAAACTGTATTGCGCTCCTTGTATTGCCCCCCTCCTCCCCATCCTTCTGTGCTTTGCCTCTTCCTTATGCTTTGTCTCATCCTTCTGCTTTCTCTTATTCTTTTGCCTCCTTTTACAGAACGCGGTACGGATTCGACTCCTACGTGCTGGGCCTTGGGGCATCCGTCGGCGTTTCTGTTTGGTCAGGTGAGTGGCAGAGTGGTTTGGAGTGGTAGAGAGTGGTGGGGATTGTGCTCGGCTGAGTGTTTGAGGTAGCTACCGCGTGCTTGTTAGGCAGTCAGAGGAGTGAATAACTTCAAAACAAGGTGAAACAAAAACAAGATGAAAACAAAAACATAAGGGAGGCAAGAATGAGGAAGCAACAGCAAATCGGAAAGAAGGAAGGAACAGCAGCAAGAGTCTCAACTGTGACACTGGATAAGACGTGGCTGCAGTCTGTTCGACTGAGTCATTACTACGTCTCAAAGCAAAACATAGTGTGCTAGACTGTGATACGATACACGGCATGGCTGGAGTCTGTTCGGGAGTGTTCCCATCTGTCTCCCTCCCTCCCTGCCTGCTTGCAAGTGAACGTTTTCTCCTGCGGAAGGAGCCCTCCCCATCCAGCGTGGCTGCAGTCTGCTCGGTCCACTGCTCCCACCCCCACACTGCGCCCACCCTTACCGCTCCCACTGGCTTCAAGCCTCCTATGGACGATAACCCCCTTTCCTATCCCCTCCTCTCCCTCCCTCCCTCCCTGCTTGCAGCTGAGCGCTGCTTCCTGAGAAAGGAGCCCTCCCCATCTGGTGTGGCTGCATTTGATCGGTTCGCTGCTCCCATCCTCATACCACTCCCTCCCGCCCTCCCTGCCCTCTCCCTCCAACCAGCTGAGCGTTACTTTCTGAGAAAGGAGCCCTCCCCATCTGGCGTGGCTGCACTCTGCTCAGCAATTATGGCAGCACTGTACACATGCGCCTTGTACCGCACTGTTTGAAGCCCTGTCAACCGCACTGGACTCCACTGTACTGCACTCCTTAGAGCCCAAGCTGCACTGTGTGGCTGCAGTCTGCTCAGCAGTTACGGCTTCACTACACTTGCGCCCTGTACTGCACTGTTTAAAGCCCCACTGTCAACCACACTGAAGCGCAGTGTACCACACTCTAAAGCCCAAGCTGCACGCTGCAGTCTGGTCAGCAGTCACGGCTGCACCTACACACATGTGGTCTGTACAGCACTGTTCAAAGCCCGCTCTCTACTAACCTCACTAGGCACTGGCTCCAATGGGTCGTACCTTGCCTGCTCTCTAAACTGCTGCTGTGGCTGCTGATAGCTCTTGCCCAGCAGAGTTTCTCCCACGACTACAGACCGAAAGGTTTTCAAGCTGAAGCAGCAGGACAAGGTCGTGAAGCTATGTGCTAGCAATGTGTTGTTGATGTGCTGGCTATGAGCTGGCAAATGCTGGTGATGTGTTGGCGTTGTGCTGGCTATAGTATGTGCTGGCAGTGTCCCCTCCTTTGGCACTGCACAGCTGTCTTGTCTTCAACCCGTTGCTTGCTAGCATGCCAATGGTTGTATGGAGTATCCATTGTTATTAGAGTGTGCATGTGTGAATGTGTGCGTGTGCATATACGGGGGTAGGTAGTATTCCTCTGCGAGTTGTGTGTGTGTGCATATACCTTAAAAGTTCCCCTGCTTGTACAGTCATTCAGCAACCTTTACCAGACTAATAAACGCGTGTGGTGAAGCTATTGATGTTGGGTTCAATGTTAGCTGTGTTCTTACCAGTCCTATGATCCTATCCCATCCTTGTGCCTGGTTTCTCTCGGTTACGGTACTCCCCCCCTCACCCTCACCTGTTACATAATCATTCTTGCGTCGACATTTTGTCAAAGTACAATCTTACTTGTAGGCTATAGTGGGGCACTCCTTATGGGGTACAGCACTTTTAGGATTAGTACTTGTACCCCAACTCTTGCTAATCCAATCATTCATTCCTGCACAGTTATTCTGATATGGTATTCAGAGCAGGAAACCTGTTAAGTTTTTAGGGCCCCCCGATAGTTTCGCTCGTTCCTGCCCGAAGCGCCCTTGCGCTGTCCGGCCCTGCTCGCACAGTGTCGCGCTACCCTGCAGCTACTAGCACTGCCTGCCCCCCCGCACGTCGCGCCCTGCTGCAGCCCGCGCGTCGCGCTCTGCTGCTCCGCGCCTCACACACTGCTGCAGCCTGCACGTCGCGCCCTGCTGCTCTGCGCGTCGCGCCCTGCTGCAGCCAGCGCGTCGCGCCCTGCTGAAGCCAGCGCGTCGCACCCTGCTGCAGCCAGCGCGTCGCGCCCTACTGCAGCCAGCGCGTCGCGCTCTGCTGCCCTGCGCGTCACGCCCTGCAGCAGCCAGCGCGTCGCGCCCTGCTGAAGCCAGCGCGTCGCGCCCTGCTGCAGCCAGCGCGTCGCGCTCTGCTGCCCTGCGCGTCGCGCCCTGCTGCAGCCAGCGCGTAGCGCCCTACTGCAGCCAGCGCGTCGCGCCCTGCTGCCCTGCACGTCGTGCCCTGCTGCAGCCAGCGCCTCGTGCCCTCCTGCAGCCAGCGCGTCGCGCTCTGCTGCCCTGCGCGTCGCGGCCTGCTGCAGCCAGTGCGTCGCGCCCTACTGCAGCCAGCACGTCGTGCTCTGCTGCCCCTCGCGTCGCGCCCTGCTGCCCTGTCCACCGCGCGCCCTGCCCTGCAGCCCGGGGCGCGCCCTGCCCGGCCGAGCCGCGCCGCCCAGCCCGAGCCGCCCTGCCCAACCCGAGCCGTGCCGCCCTACCTTGATCACCAGACCCACCGAGCCGCCCTGCTGCTGCTGCTCGTGCTACTGCTGCTGCTGGTGGAGGTGCTGCTGGGAGTGCTGGGAGTGTTGCTGGTGCTGGGGGTGCTGGAGGTGCGACTGGGAGTGCTGGAGGTGCGACTGGGAGTGCTGGAGGTGCTGCTGGTGCCAGAGGTGCGACTGGGAGTGCTGAATGTGCTGCTAGTGCCGGAGGTGCTGGACCTACTACTGACCGTCACTGCCTGTCATGGCCACTATCACGGCAGTTGCAGCGGCTAGGGGTGGACAGCAGCGGTCACTGCATCTCCCAGACGACCCCACCCCTCAGCGGCTTCGCGAGTGGGTTCTTCAGCGAGCTCGTCCAGGTGGTGGAGGCTTTGGTTTTCTACGTACTGCACAGAGGCGGCAGCAGAGTCAGCAGGAGACCTTCTCCTCGCATGTGCTTAGTGAGTTGTTTCCTCATCGATGTGTCACTGGTTCTATCGAGGCCGCTGCACTAGGTGCTAGTGAGTCTGCTGCCGCACTAGGTGCTAGTGAGTCTGCTGCAGCTTTAGGTGCTCGTGCGTCTCCCGCCACAGGTCCTTCCTCAGTTGAGGCCTTGCACACTTTCACACTTGACTCAGGCGCGTCACATTGCTCCTTTCGGGACTGCACCACACTCACACCACTTGCTGCACCGGTACCAGTCTCACTGGCAAACCCCACTAGGGGCCTAGTAATCGCACGAGCCTCCACTGTCCTTCCGTGTCTAGCAGTCCCCTCCGGTTCTCTGTCAGGTCTCCACCTCCCCACGTTCTCGACGAACTTGGGGACGACTACACACGTTACACCACTGTCTTCCCCTTGCGGCGCAAGGCGGACGTCAGCAGTGTTTTGATCCCCTGGATCCGTGCTACTCGTCGTCAGCTACGCGAGCGGTTCAGTCGGGACTTCGCAGTCTTGCGTCTGCACTCTGACAGGGGCGGTGAGTTCTCTTCTGACCTCCTTGCGGAGTTCTGTCGAGACGAGGGCATCGTCTAGTCGTTCACGCTTCCGTCCTCTCCTCAGCAAAATGGGATTGCTGAGCGTCGCATTGGCTTGATCATGGAGGTTGCTCGTACCTCCATGATCCATGCGGCTGCTCCCCATTTTCTGTGGCCGTTTGCGGCCTGATATGCTGCGCATCAGCTCAACCTCTGGCCCAGTGTCTCTGAGCCAGAGACCTCGCCCATACTCCGGTGGACGGGGAAGGTTGGCGATGCATCGATGTTTCGGGTCTGGGGTGCGCTCTCCCTTGTTCGCGATGCCAAAGCGAGCAAGCTCTCCTCTCGCACTCTCCGCTGCGTCTTCCTTGGCTTCCCCACCAACACCTCGCTGTGGCAGTTTTACCACCCGCGCTCGCGTCGAGTCTTCTCCTCCCAGGACGTCACCTTTGACGAGTCTGTCTGTTACTACAGGCTACACCCGCACGCGTCCCACCCGGTCCCCCTAGCGCCTCTTTTCTTGGTACCAGTCCCCCCCTCGGTAAACCCCCTCCCCCCACAGGGTCCTGCTCCCTCAGGTGTGTCTCAGGTAGACCCACCCCCCTTGGTTGAGCCTTTGGAGATCTCTTCTGACTCCTCTGGCCCAACTGAGGGGGGTGACCCCACCGCTGACGACACGGCGGCCACTCGCCGCTCTCCACGCTTTGAGACCCCCCCTGGTTTTCCACCTAGGCCGTCTTCGCCGCATCCGAAGCCTGCTGCTGTGGACTCTGGAGTTGAGACTGCTAATGCTGAGCCTAGGGGTGCTGAGACAGAGGGTGAGGGTTCTGGGGGTGCTGCGACTGGGGGTGCTGCGACAGGGGGTGCTGGTTCTTGGGGTGCTGCGACTGGGGGTGCTGAATCTGGGGGTCCTGCGAGTCCTAGTGGCGGTGGAGCTGTGGGTGACCCTGCTGGAGGTCCTGGAGCTGGACAGCCACCGCAGCCAGACCTACTTGAGACGCTCTCGCCGCAGGCGATTCGTGCGTGGATCGTTCAGCGAGGCAGTCCTGGTGGTGGAGGGTACGGTCCTGCTGGTGCTGGAGCTGCTAGTCCTGGACGTACTGCTGGTGCTGGAGGTACTGGAGGTACTGCTGGAGGTGCTGGAGGTTACGGAGATAACTCTATCAACCGGAGCTAGACTACGGGCTAGGCACGGGGTAGGAGGGATCTTTGCGTTTGTTCACTTAGTCGTTCTCTAGCACTTGTGCGTTCACAGGGCAAAACCACAAGAGTTACACTAGCAAAAGTTGAGAACAATAGTAGCAACTAGATTGACAAGGTAGACTACATCAGAAGCCTAGCATACAAGTCGACCACCAGCTTAGCACGAAGGCGACTTGCTAGCTGGTCGACCTTAGGCGTCCTCAGTCGACCTACAAGGCTGGCTTGCCAGCACACCAACAACAGGCCCTGCAGAGCAAGCTCATGTGCGCGCACCTA